CAGACAGGTAGGGGGCAGCCTGAGGGGCTGGGTGTCTCGCCTCCCTTCCTCCCCCCACAGACAGGTGCGGGGGCAGGCTGGGGGGCTGGGTGTCTCGCCTCCCCCTGCACAGGCAGGTGGGGGCAGCCTGAGGAGCTGGGTGTCTCATCTCCCCCCACACAAACAGGTGGGGGGCAGCCTGAGGGGCTGGGTGCCTCGCGTACCTCCCTGCATGGACAGGTGGGGGGGCCAGGGGGCCTTGCGTTCCCGCTCTGCAGGGAGAAGTGGGGTGGTAGCCTGGGGGGCCGGGGTGTGTCACCTCCCCCCATACACATAGGTGGGGGGTAGCCTGGGGCCGGGGACATCTCATCCCTTTTTCCACACATACACGAGTGAGGAGGAGAGCAAGGGCATCTGGTGAAGACTTTTTTCCTGCCCTCGTTGGGGGTGAAGGTGAGACACTCCCTTACTACTCTCACTAAAGTAGTGGTTCTCAACCACTGTGTCTACAGACCTTGTCTAAGGGGTCTGTGAAAGGTTGTTGTTACCAAAGAAAAGTGATTTTCAACCTGTGGTCCGGACACCTGGGGGTCTGCAGACTGTTTAGATTTCCATAGGGGTCCTCACCTCCATATGAAAGTTTTAAGGGTCCGCAAATGAAAAAAGGTTGAGCATCACTGCAGTAAAACATTTCCTCCTGCCCACGCCCAGCAGAGAATAAAGCTGAGTGTGTAGGGTAAAGGCTTTCTTCTCCATGAATGTGTATGTGCAGGGACTGCAGGGTTGTAGCAAAACGATTGCCTTCCACTTCTGTGAGCCTTTGCAGCCCCTGCTGCAGTCCGCTGGGGAATAGGAGGCGGGCAGGGGGGTTATTCTGCTGCCCTGTTACTCCCTGGCTGACTCACTGACAGGGCGTTTCTTTAATTCCCTGTTCCTATTTAGAAAACACAAATCCATTTCAGTGGATTGACTGGGAGGGAAGGTGGCATGACTGCTTGTCTTAGACCATAAGGTATGCCATGGGGGTACCTAAGAAAAGAGGAAACATGAAGGACAGTGTTGCCTTTGAGCTTTAGGGAAGTGACATTATTCTCCTCCTCTTCCGTTGCAGTGAATCTGTAGGGTGGATGAAGAAAGAAAAGATGGAAGGACTGTGTGTGGGGAGGGGAGGGGTGGAATCTTTATTCAAGACGAGCTATTTTATGTAAGGAGAGAGCCCATCATTTCTGGAAATAGTAGCAAGGAGTGCAAAGCTTGTGTTTGGAAATGGAGTGTCTTCCAGCCACCTAGCTGCTGTCTGTTTATCGCCAAACCCAAGAACTAAGGTGGGAAGGAGGGCGGGGGTCCTTGCATGTTTGTATGTTGCCACCATAAATTATAATGATATGCTTTTTTAATATAGTATATTAAACTGTCAAAAGCTGAAGTAAGGACGATAAGATAAAAGGACCTGAGGATGGGATTGTAGAGTTCTGAGCTGCATTGCAGGTGCATAAGAAATATCCAAGAGACTTTGTTTGGATGGGTAAACACTTGAGCTAAAATGTGCCTAAAATGTGTTGATGTTTATACAGTAGGAATTATCCCTCTTAATGTTTTAAAATTTCATTTCATATCCATGTGGCTGTAGTGCAGTCCCTCCTTATATACTGTTTGTTCGCTAGTAAATATAGTCCTTTAGGGTGGTACAGTAGTATGACTGAACTAGTAAGAGAGAATTATGATTTTGTCTTAGTTTAATATAGATGTACATTTATGCATTCATAAAACTATACATATCCCAAGGTTCGTTTAACTATTTAAAACTATTGATATACTGGAACAGCTAATAAAATGACAAAAATAAGAAATCTATCCATTAAATCCCATATATGTTATCTGTTCTGTTGAATATTAAAGCTGTACATCCACTCGATGAAGTATATTAAGATTTCAGTGATGTTTTGTTGTTTAATTGAATTTTCAATTCATAGGTGGGGAGGTCATGATTCAGGAAGACATTACATGCCTAAAATCTATAAAATGAATAATTGGACAAACTGGTGCATAACTGCTGTAGCTATTACTAAGCGTACTGCGTAATATATGTTAAAAGCATTGTTGCAGGAAGAACGGTGACAGCCAAGCTAAATGCTGATTATAAGATTCATAATAACCGAGTTGAACATTAAAATTGTAAACAAGTAATTTTGAAAAAAATTTACATTTCATAAATTTGATTTCAAATTTTAAAAATGTTATCCTTTAATATTTTTAATATTAAAAATGTTAATAGCAGTTTTTAAATGATCAAACTGCATTTTTCTTTGGCATAATTTGTAAAATAAAAAACTTTTTTCAATGTAGCTCATTATTAAAATCTAAAACCTTTTGAGAATTACTGTGTATTCATTCAGAGGAGTCATCAGTGAGCCTTTGTCATCAGTGGGCAGAAAGAAAATTCCCCTCTGGTGTTTTTCCTGTAAGGAATACACTTTTTGAACATTGTATATAGTATAGTAGGACGGACTAGGATTGCAGGTGGAATAAACTAGCTTGCAAGCTTTGCTCTTGATATTATATTTAGCCTGGTATTTACTTTATTTAGACTTTTAAAAGTACTGAAAGATGTCTAAGGAATATTTAAAACCAAATGTAAAATGGTATCTAGGGATTATTTTTATAGCATCAGGATCTCCAGTGTATACTTTGTATGTATGTAAGTGGACAAATATAAAATAATCCATCTTTCTGCCTGAGGTCTTGCAGATGTGTCATCTCATTATTTTTAATAGTAAAATATTCTAAATGACTAATTTTTAGAAGCAAACTAGTCTGATTTCACCATCTTGTATATAACTTTGATCTTTCATATTCCTGGAGTACTGTTTCTATAATACTTTGAAATCTTTTGCGCCACCAGCTAACAAAAGTGACTTAATTGATCAGTTTGTCGGTAATTAATAGTAGCATTTTTTTGAAGTCTGATGAGGTATTGCAAGATCAGTGATCCAAATGACTTAATCGTAATATTGGATGCTTTATGGGAATACTTAGGCATGTACTAGCCAGAGAACAGTGTCTGTAGCTTTCTTGTTCCACAGTCTTTTCCTGTTCTCCCTTTCTTGATTCTAAAAGGGGTTTAGGAATCTAAGATCTGAAAAAAAGGGAAGCCCTAGAAAAGGAAAAATAGAGGTTTTGTAAGATGGTTGTACTAAGTGACTCTTATTTGAGGTCTGGCTCTTTATGCAGGCTTTTTCATGTCTGTTTACTGTAGTGCACAGTAAAACCATACATTTGTGTCACAGCAACACTGTTATTGTATCCACAGACAAAAACACCCATACACACCTTTTGTAGATTCTGCTTTAAGGGATGAGAATATTTTACTATAAATTAATTGTACAAGCTAAATTAATATTGACTGTTGTACAATAATCTAGTTTTCCAGCAGCTCCTGCCATACCCTTTGTAATAATGTTGCTGAATGATGCAGCCCAGGAGCGTGGAAGGAGTTAAACTGGAGAGGTTGCCCATTGTTTGTAGAAAAAAATCTTATTACAACTATATAACTAGATCTTGTTGATTCCTTTTGCATCTACGATATGCCAAAATAAAATTTCTGGGACATTCATTCCCTGGCCCATTCTTGTTTTAGTGCTGTATTTTAATATTTTTGTTTGAATGTTAGAGTAAGGTAATTCACTGAACATTGTCATGCTTTGAATTTCTTTGTTTCTCTTTGCAAGGGCCAGTGTTTGCCTCTCTAATGAACTTCTTGTAGCTGATTACAAGATCTGTTACATTTATTTAGGCAATATCAAAACTGTTTCTCTGCCTACAAGAGGATGTAGAACAATACCCATAGTACTGTCTGTATTTCTCAGAATCTTTGTCACCATTGCCTGAAGAAATTACTTTGCAGGGGTGATGTTAGTATTATATCAGTATTATAGCTCAGCTAGTTGGAGAAGTCAGCTAACTAGATTATGATAGTTCTGAACGTAGGATAAACATTTGAGAACTATTGTACTTAAATACAGTTCCCCTCCTTCATATTAATATGTTCATAAAGCAACAATATAAAAAAATATTGCAAATACATTTATCCTATTATATTTTGGGGACAGTCTTCCATTCAGTGAATTCAGTTGTAAAATTCTCATTGACTTTACTTCGGTCGGAATCAGGCCTTTAAAATGCTAGAAGATTAATATTAGAGCACTGAGGCCTGGTCTACACTAACCCCCCAAGTCGAAGTAAGGTACGCAACTTCAGCTACGTGAATAACGTAGCTGAAGTCGACATACCTTACTTCGAACTTACCGCGGTTCAGACGCGGTCCACACGCGGCAGGCAGGCTCCCCCGTCGACTCCGTGGTACTCCTCTCGTTGAGCTGGAGTACCGCAGTCGGCGGCGAGCACTTCCTGGTTCGATTTATTGCGTCCAGACCAGACGCGATAAATCGAACCAGGAAGTTCGATTTCCAGCCGCCGAACTAGCAGCTAAGTATAGACCAGCCCTGAGAGTCCTAGGATCTTGAAGATTGGTCCACCAGCACTGATCTTATATCAAATGTATTTTTAGTTAACAAAAAGAGGCAAACATTTAACATTAACTGCGTAACTTTTTCTTTCATGTTGCTTGTTACTCCTGTAGACAACAGATTTCTCACTTGCAGGTAAAGTAAACACAACACTGTTTCTGCAATGGTAGATCTAACTCAGTGGACAGCATCTGTTCTCTGGTACAACTCATGCTGAAGATACACATTGTTTGCAAAACAGGCCTTTAAAATAAAACATACTGTGCTCAGAACTATGACACATTCTATAAATTGTTTTCAAATTAATCTTTTTTTAAAAAAAAATCCTGTTTACTCTCTGTTTTCTCTTCAAAACTCTATCAGCTGCTTGCAGACAGTGGGTAGGCAGTTTTTCTGTGAAATAATCTTTTTGCATGTTAACCCTACAAATGTAGCACTTTCTCTTGCTGTTTTAATTATTGGAAAGCAAACTCCATTTCAGGTGGGAACAAGAGTAAGCCCAAAGCAATTAAAAACAGAATATGTTTTTTTGTTTCCAGTTACTTTTAAAGGTTTGGTTCAAGTTGTCCACCCCGTATTATATCTCTAGTCTGCATAATTTAGGAGTATACAATAGCTGGGTGTAGTATTAATAAGACATCTGTGAGTGTTTGTGTTTACTCTTCTGATTAAAAAAATAAATAAATCTATCATTCATATGCTGTTCCTTAATTTCATTTTTTCACATAATACAACCATTGTTTGTCATATGGACGTTTTGCTCTTAAAAAATCTTATTTTGAGCAAAGTAAGGGAAGCAAAAAAATTGAACATGTTTGTAGTTCTAAGTCATTATTGTAAAACAATGAAGCGTACATTTATGAAACAGTATAACGGGAGGTAGATGAACAGGTAGTGAAATTTCACTGTTTTACACTATTTCAGTATTTTTCACAAAAAATACCGTTAAGTATATTAGAGGGCTCACTGCCTGCAAGTTATCATCAAAGTGAAGCAATTGAACATAGGTATAGAATTGTTGTCAGTTGTGTTCTGATTTGGATGTGCAGATGCCTTCTTTGTAAATGGATTTTCCTGGAAGGACGATTCTCTTTGTGGTGCTGAAAGACTCCAGCTTGTTTTGCCCAGATATGTTCTACATATATGCTAGATATAGTTTGAGATTTATGCATTCCTCAGAGTAAACTGTTGATCACTGCGCACAGATAAATGGGTAAAGGCATTTTGGCTTGTAATTAGGTTGTACAGGCAAATAGCTCCAGATAATATGGGGAAGGAGTCCTTTTCCTATAAAAACTAAACCTAAAACAATGGAAATTAAATGCAAAGAACTAGGGTTAATGAAACATGAAAGTTGAAAAGTCAAACATTCAGAATCAGGGCATTCCAAAAATGATGGCAAATCCTTTCCTCTGAATCTCTCCTGGGATTCCCACAATATTGTCAATATAAACTCTTCCTTTAAAATAACATGAAAATATTGGATCTGAGTTCATGAGGGATTACTGACACCTGAAATATCCAAGAGATTTGGTTTCTCTATATTTTGGAATCATATTTCTAATTTAAACACCATTATAGCTTCAAATTTATGTACAGAATACATAACACTCAGAGTATGTCCTTGTAGGAAAAATTCTTTGTCTTCTAAATAATTTAAGGCCTGATCCTGCTTTTGAATTTTTTGCTTCCATTTTCAAGGGCCTCTTTAATGAACTTCTTGTAGCTGATTACAAATTCTGTTTCATTTATTAAGTGATATTAAAACTGTTTCTCTACCTAGAAAAAGATGGAACTTT